GGAGAGGTGGGAGCGGAGTGCCTGCCGGCTCCGACTTGGGACTGGCGCTGGAGTCCAGGGCTGGATGGAACCCGTGACTGGACCTGGAGGCGGGAGTGAGGATAGAAGCGTTGAGCTTCCATTGTGTGGGGTTTGACCAGCCAACACGGATTTCGGCAGTGGGCTGGGGAGGAGGGACCTCGGGGGCGTCGCACTTTCTTGCCTCTTTCGCGGCTTCCTGGCTCCTGCCAAACTTTCCCAACCTTTCCTGGGGCGCGGCGGCAACGTGTCTAATTCAGGCCGCTGGGGTGGGGAGGGCGAGTGGGAGGAAACAACGAAAGTTCGGTTTTCTCTAGGGCCGCAGGACCCGGTGTTCGTTCAGAAGGCCCCTGGAATGTTAGCACACGGCCCTAGACCCACGATCATTTGAGCGCCTCTGCTGTGTGTCGGGGGTGGGGGGTCGGGGGCTCTGAAAGACGACAGGTCTGAAAAAGGAGGGGGGTCTCACCATCCCCTGGCTGTCCCTCGGGACAGATCTGAATTCTAATCCCATTTCATACCTCTTACCAGCTGTATGACTCGGTACTTAATCTCTGGGAATGTGTTTCCTCATCTGTTAAGTAGGTGATGATACTGATACCCTCCCAGCCAGTAGGTGGGAGAGTCCCAGGAGTAGAATCTCTCAACATGGTGTCTGGCACACAGTAGGTGCTCAATTCGTAGTTTTTGTTCCCTTCCTCTATCCTAAGGAGAGTTCCCGGTGTAATGGAAGCAAGCAGGGGCAGACAAATAAGGCCAACGAAGTGTGGCTTGTGTTCCTGAAGTTTTTTGTACTTTGTTACGGGAATATGACAGAGGAAAGCATCCAAGCAGCCCGGGACAGGGGAGGCTTCAAAATGGAGGTTGAGCAGAGTCTTGTAGAATAAATAAGTTCGCTGGGACAAGAGAACTGGGTTGTGCAAAGACTCAGAGACAAGATAGTCATGTTGCAGGCAGAGGGGGTTGAGGCCTAGGGACTGAAAGCTGAGTGCTGGGGCTCAGAGTGGGGACCCCAGAAGTGTAAAAGATGCTGGGTCAGATGGTGTGTATTGACAAGTCTAGGAAGAGCCCAGACTCTGGCTGTTCTCTCTTCAGTGCTGGCCTGGGCTGAAGTCTTTAATCCTTTATAAGGGCTCTTTGGCCTAAGGAGGCATTAGAAACCCAGCCTAAGCCTCAAACAGTAGCTGGTCTGGCCTCTTCTCACACACCTAACTGACATAACTCTCCTTCTGATCTCATCCCAAACCATCTCACTGGAGGACAATTACTTCTGCTTCAAAATGGCCCTCAGCCACCAGCCAAGACTTAGGAATGGGGACAGTCTGGTTGAGAGGGAAGATGTTTTTGGAAAGTAAGATTTCTTAAAAAGTTCACTTTACAAAGCATGCTTCTCTTGGTCAGAAGAGGAAAAGGCTGAAGATGGATCCAGGGCATAGGAACTGAAACCAGCAGACCAAAAAAAAGCCTCTCTCAGTCTCTTAGAGAATAAGCCAAGAGCCTGGCGAGTGGCAGACTTCTGGGCCTGCCTCCCGACAGCTGGTTTCGTTTAGATTTTTGTGTGATTAACCCGACATCTTCCTGTTCCTTTGCCACATGTATCTAGCAAGCCTCTTTTACCTTATAAGGGAAATCCTTTGTAGCGGGTGGAACGCTTTGATTGCAGGAAGGGGTGGAGCCCAAAATGACTAGCAGTGACTAGCAGTTTTTCAAAAATACATATATATACACATATATATATATATATATAATGCTATGTACATGTGTGTGTATATCAGACCTCTTTCAAGTCCAGACATTTGAAAATCTGCCAAAAGCATGGTTTTTAGGATTCAGAATTTCCCACATAAGGGCTACTCACTTTTATTTTTTTAAGACTCATGAATCAAGCATCTCTATATGATCTTAAAAATTAATTCCCTGACTGCTAATGAACACGTGGCTTTTCAGGGTGATGAAACTGTTCTAGAGTTAGTGGTATTGGTTGCAGAATTGTTGGTTCTGTGTTATTGGTTGCAGAATAACTATACTAAAAACTCTTGAAGGAAAAATAAAAATTGATTTTTACCCCAGTTGCTGAAGGTGTTAGGAGAAGTTAAGGTTTACACAATTAAAAAGAATGAAATGCCCCACTCCTCAGAAGGAGGTGACATTTCTTAAGACAGTTAACTGTGGCTTTATAGGATTCTCCACATTGGTGTTTCAGAGGACACTGTGACTAGAAACACCTTTGAAGTCCTAGAAGTTCTCTGCGTCTGGGACTGTGGGATTGAGAAGCCTTCTTGACTTTCTACCTGTGCTTTTTAGCTAATTTTTCTATCTTTTGTAGAGACAGGGTCTTGCTCTTGCTCAAGCTAGTCTCAAACTCCTAGCTTTAAGTGGTTCTCCCACCTCGGCCTCCCAGAGTGCTGGGATTACAGGTGTGAGCCACCATGCCTGGCCAACTGGGATTCTGACCCAGCACTTTTTGACCCTGGAATTCCTGTTTTTATGCACTCTGCCATGCTTCCTTCCTTGAAAAGCCAATAATGCACTTCAGATATCTCTTCTACCCATAACCAAGTTTTCTTTCCCTTCTCATAGCTTTTTGTCCCATCTCAGCCAGGCTTAATTAAGGATGTTCTGACTAGGCTGCCTCCCTCTCACCCTTGCTTATGGTCAACATTTAACTGAGGCTACCATATTCTAGCATTTATCTTGCCATTCTGATGAGAGAGAGTGGATCTTATGGGACAGGATGAGCTAAGAAGTCACTGGTACCTTTCCAGGAATACCACAGTGAGCCCTAGAACCCTCATGGTAGCACTGAGTGTCTTTTTCAGGGAGGAGCTTACATTAGATCTTATCCTAACATTGACTCTATTAAGAGTTGCTGGAGAGGCCAGCACTGTCATCTTGGAGCACACAATGTACTGCCTTTCTTCTGTGTTGATGTGACTGCCCATCATAGACTAGGACACTTACCTTAAGTCACTGAGTGGGGGATGTTCCTTGACATTTTCAAGGAAGATCATACTGATTCTTTACATTCTTTAAACAAGAAAGTGTGAATTCCTTATAGGCTGGATTCCTGAATGGGCTTTTGCAGGGAATTAAAAGGGTGCAGGGAAGGCTCCCACTGGTGGCTGGTTTGGTATTTCCTTTTTTTTTTTT